TCGGACCTCCTGGGAGCGGGGGGAGCCGCTCAGAGTGCAGCCCAGTGGCAGGAGGTGGGGAGACCCTGGGCTGTGCTCTGAGCAGCTCTGCCAGCCCCACGGAGCTCAACCTGCCTTCCCAGCACTGCCAAACTCCTCCCAGGGGCCTCAGATCTGCGTGTGGGATGACAGGCCGCCGCTGCTGCCTAGGGCCAGTGGCAGCAGCAGTCTTCCCGGTGGTGGGCATGAGCTACAGCCAGCGCCGATCTCAGGCAGCAGCGGCAGCCTCCCGTCATCCTGCGCACCAATCTGGGGGCTTGCATCCCCAGGAGGAGTCCAGCACAGCCCCACATCCCTCCTGGGAGTGTGGGCCCCCAGATCTGCATGTGGGATGACAGCAGGCTGCTGCTGCCAGCAAGTGATACAAGTTTTGCTCTCGGCAACTTGAGGTGCAGTTTCCCAGAAACTCCTGCACCCATCTCCTTGAAACTTAGCAGGGTTTATACCCTCAGAAGGGGCCACCATCCCTGCAATATTCATCCAAATCAGGCAATAAATGAAAAAGTTATAGGCATTTTCATGATTCCCCATTATAGCCTATGGGTGAAACAGCAAAACAGTTTTGATAAAATGAAACGGAACAGTGCTTTGAAACAATACAACGAAACGAAACAGTGCTGTTTCTCACAGCCCTACTAACTACCTCCCCCTACTTTTTAATAATTAAAAAGGTTAACACCAGTGTCCCTGAAATACCATATTAGGGCTAGTGATGTTTAAATGACCTGAAAAAGCATGAAATGTTCAGATTCAGGTTATTTAGAGGAGTTTTTAAGATAATTTTAGGAAGAAGTAAACAGCTTTACAAAACTGATATATTAATCTTTAATTTGAGTTTTCCAACTGTCTAGAGATCTATATCTACTGTTTCTCCATTCTTATTTGTCTTTTGGTTTCCTTCTCTAGCAGATAACTGTAAAATTGAAGAGAGAGAAAGAATTGAATACATAAATGTATTATTTATATAGATGCCTTGGATCCCCAGAAAGTTCTTTAAGGCAGTAGTTTCTTAAGAATATCACTCAGATCTGGTTGGCATCAGGATCCATGAATGCACGAATCCATGAATCTATCTGCAGAAGTAGTATTTTCAAAAACACTCCAGTGTTAATTACGTTGGATCAGAGTTGGTACTCTGCAGGTGTAGACCTTGGAAAGTATATAGAATTAGGGAGTTGGTAGATGGTCCCTGAAACTTACCTAGCTGTAGGGCAGGGGTGGGCAATTATTTCAGCTGGTGGGCCATTTAATTTTGGGGACCTGATGAGGGCCACATTCATTTGTTGCTCCCTGTGTCACTTGCTCTCTTGCATGGGTGGCAGCATTAGAACCTGCTGGCAGTGTCACCGATGATGCCTGCCCAGCATGGCAGCAGCTCCTACTTGAGCCCATGGCCGAGCACTGGGGCTCCTGGTGAACTTCAGCTTCAGCCAGGTTTGGAGCTGGCTGCCCAGTGCAAAAGCAGCTCCTGCCTCTGAGTCCATGGCTGACACTGGATTGGGTGTAGTGGAGGTCTGTTCCTTGCACTATTTTGTCTCCCTTTCCTAGTTATGAGTCACCATCCAAAATACCGTATTCAGTATGAATGGTGTGCGTGCTCAGTAGCAGGTGAGATGACAGTTGCTTCTAGTATATTCTGTCAGCAGAGTTCTCCTGCAGTCACAGGAAAGAGCAGAGGAACAGCCTTTCCAAGTCAGCCTTGTATTATGTAGTTTTCTGTTGGTTTTTCCAGCATAACATGGAATGGATAACCTTATTTTTCATCCACATTTTATGAATTTGGAAATGTATTTATGAATGATACACCTGTATTTCTTTTCTAAGCCTCTCAGCAAATAATGGAAAAACTAATTTTTTTAAAAGGACATTTTTTAATAATTTGCTTTGTGTGTTTATGAAATACCAACAGTTTTAGTACTTCTAAACTGGTATATGAATTACTAGCTAGCTGACAGGAAACTGTAAGTTTGGATTTTATAAGTTTTTCACATTATTTCATTGAGTTGAAATGCTAGAACACACAATAAGATACTTTTATTATATTTAACTGTATTTTTATCTCAGAACACTTTTGTTTTTCTTAAAAATGCTAAATTGCCAGTCAGAGTTCAGTGAGAAAAAAGTTTTAAAAAATTCCATCATTAAGGAAAGTGAAATCACTCAATTCTCTATTTTATCTTATAGACTACATAAATGGAGGAGAACTTTTTACTCATCTTTCACAAAGAGAGAGATTTACAGAAAATGAGGTGCAGATATACATTGGAGAAATTGTATTGGCACTTGAACACCTACACAAGGTAAAGCAGTTTTTCCAGTAGGACTTCCTTGGAAGAAATAATCTGTATTTTTTTCACAATTAAAAACCAAGAAGAGCTTCAAGGTTCTTTCTTTTTTTGGAAGTTTTTTAATAAGTGTTTTATTACATACACTAGAATTAAGTATGAATTATTTAATTAATTATGAATACTTTTTCCCTTCATCATATATCCAGCTGTACTGTTCCTTTGCACTAGAATACACAGGGTAGTCTCTACAACTGGAACCAGCATTTGTTAATTTAGCAATGGTTTCTTACTTTCTGAATCTGTTGGTTTCTAACAGTACCATACTTACGTGACCTCTTGGTCAGGTCAGGATTGAAAGCCTGCTACCACTATGACTATAAGTGACTCAACCTGTACTGATCAATGCTGAGTGCTAGGCAGTGGTTACTTAACTTGGCAACCTCAGGAAGTGCCAACAGCTTTGGGTGGAGGATTGCCTGAGGAGGGTAGTGAAACTTGATGGAGGAAGTGCCATCAAAAGGTGGATGAGCATAATTGCTCAGTGATTTTGCCAACAGTATCCACACAGGGCAAATTGGGGTTGCCAGCCATGGTTGGCAACCAGTCTAGGAGTGGAGCCCTGAAAGGCAGGCAGATGGAAGACCTTCTTTGCACTGGCAACTCCTGCAGTGTAGATGGTTCCAAATGTATAGACTTCCTTCCTTCAGACCAGACCAATGAAGCCGAGAGAAGGACACTGATAAAGGGGCAAAGCAACATCTCCATATCAACTGCCCAGGCTCTTGCAGCCACACCACATGGAGAGGATACTCCATCCTTGTTGGCAGTGTTGACACAACATGGGAAGTGGGAGCTGTGAGTCATAAGCTCTCACTTGATTGGCATAGAGGAGGGCACCATGAGTCACCTTCAAATGGTGGGAGGAATCATCATGTTCCACTGGTGAGCTACCACCTGCCATAATGCTGGGCATCCCCTGGACAGTTAGGTGCTGACCTGCAAGTCTGTCTGCCTCATTGGGTGCATGGGTCTATGCCAAAAGCTGAAAAGGAGACAGAAACCTCACACCCTGCAAAAATGAGAAACCAAGAACTTTCTGGTTTGGAAGCTGGAATGTCAGGACCATGTGTCCTGGCTTGACAAATGATGATGACCTACGGTACATGAGCAGCATACAAAAGTCAGTCTTGATTGACTGTGAGCTTTACCAACTCAATGTTGACATTGCAGCACTCCAGGAAACAAGACTTGTAGATGCTGGTTCTAGCCAAGTACCTTCTTTTGGCAAGGTAAAAGCACTGAAGAAAATTGTCTGCATGGTGTTGGTTTTGCTGTGAGTAATAAGCTGGTAAAACTTATAGAAATACCCATTGGGAAGTCAGAGCACATCATCTTACTTAGATTTCAGACTACCTTTGGTTCTGTGAACATCGTCAATGCTTGTGTACCAACACTCAACTCCAGCCTTGAGGAGAAGGATACATTTTCAGCACTCTACACCAAGTCATCAGAGGAATATTATCTACCAAACGACTGTTCCTCCTCGGAGACTTCACTGCAAAAGTTGGCGCAGACTCATGGCCAGATTGCCTACGACATTTTGAGACTGTCCAATGACTTCTTGAATTCTGTGCCTAAAAAAACCTGTGTATTATCAATTTATATTTTGCTGGAAAAGATCACCAAATTGTATCATGGTGACATCCATGATTAGGCCACTGGCACCAATTAGATCTTGTTATTATTAGGAGGAAAGACCTACCTCCAGTGCAGAAGAACCGCGTGCTCTACAGTGCCAATTGTGACACTGACCACTTCCTGATCATTAGCAGAGTAAAGATTACAGCTAAGAAACTACTAGAGGTGCACCAATATATCAGTCCATATTGGAGCAGCACCAATAAAAGGAAAATTTACATTATTGGCAATCTGCTTTTTTTGGCCGATAATGCCACTAATTAAATGCCATGTGCGTGCACGCAGTTGCAGCCTCCCAGCATTGTCATCACCCACCCTTGCCCCTGCTTTTGTCCTGCACAAGAATCTGGAGGGCACATGCTCCCCATGCCACCTCTGGGGGTGCGTGCAGAAGTGGGAAGCCCCCCTCTCCCAACCTGCCCTGTGCTCCCTGAATGAGCTGCCCATGGGTCCATCCTGTGCCCTGCCCTGCCCCTGCTAGGCAGCACTTGCCCTTGCCCCAGCCCCACTCCATATGCCACCCCCCCCCCAGTCCCTTCCCCCTCACAGACTTACTGGCTGGGGCGCGCTGGAGGCAGATTGTCTATTGGATGGGTATCAGCCAATATGGCTGGTTAATAATCTGTCATTGGTGTTGGTCAAAAAAGTCGTTATTGGTGCACCCCTAGAAACTACATGCAGCAAAACTGATGAGCAAGCCCAAAAATCAGTACCATTAACACCAAGAACCGGAGGAAGTGCTGAAAGTTTGTGAAGGCTTTTGAACTCAGCATGTTTGGGATGTCACTGCCTGAGAGGCAGAGGAAATTTGGGAAGGTATAAGAACCGTAATCTACGAAACAGCTAAAGCTACATGTGGGGAAGAGAGACCATGCAATAAGGACCAGTTAAAAAAAATGCAGAACTATTACCTCTCATCAGCATCAAGAACACAGCCTATCTGGAACACAACAAGAAGCCAACAGTGAGCACCAAAGTAAGACTTCGATATGCAAAAAGTGAGGGACAGACAGCAACTAGACGCTGTGCAATTTAGTACTGCACTAAATTCTATGAAGAGAGAGACAGCCTCAGACACAGGAAACCTACAAGTCATGTATGATGGTATGAAGAAAGCTCTAGGCCTTACCGTCAACAAGATTGCCCCTCTCCAATTGCTCAGTAGTGAAGCTATTACAGGTAGAAGCAAGCAGATGTCTCATTGGGTTGAACACTACTCAGAGCTGTACTCACAAGAAACAAACATCACCAGCGAATCAGTGGACCAAATACCCACTCTACAGGTCATGCCAGAGTTAGACATGGAGCCCACTGTAGAAGAGCTAAGCAAGGCCATTGATTCATTATCAAGTGGCAAGGCTCCTGGAAAAGATGGCATCCCAGCAGAAATTCTCAAGTGCGGGAAAGAAAATCTACTGCCATATCTTCATCAGCTGCTACTCAAATGCTGGAAAGAGGGTGAGGTACCAGAAGACATGCATGATGCAATCACACTTAGTATAAAAATAAAGGGAAGAAGGGCAACTGCAACAACTAGAGAAGTATCTTGCTACTAAGTATATCAGGAAAAGCTTTTGCAAGGGTCATCTTGGTGCACCTATAACAGCTGGTGAGTCGTGTCTACCCTGAATCTCAATGTAGATTCTTGGCCGGAAGATCAACCATAGACATGATATTTTCCCGGCATCAACTTCAAGAAAAGTGCAGAGAGCAAAACTGATGTTGTTTTTGTAGATCTAACCAAAACATTTGACATCATCAGCAGAGCAGGCCTATTTGCATTCCTAGAAAAGATAGGATGCTCACCAATCCTGTTAAGTCTTATACATTCTTTCTGTGACAACATGAAAGCAACTGTTCAGTTTGATGGGTCCACTTAGGACAGCTTAGAGATGTAAAGTGGAGTGAAGCAAGGATGTGGTCTTGCCCCTACACTTTCTGGAATCTTCTTCTCCGTACTCCTGAACTGTGAATTTAAAGATCCGAAAGGTAGAGTGTACCGTCACACAAGATTGGATGGGAAACTCTACAACCTGTCATGACTCAAGGCAAAAACTAAAGTTAAAAAGGTGCTTATCAGGAAGCTTCTGTTTGCTGATAGTGCTGCCCTTCTAGCCCACAAAGACGTACTACAAGAACTCACGGATCGCCTTTCAAGAGCCCGTCAGGCATTTGCTCTCACTATCAGCATAAAGACAACAGTTGCGCTAGGACAGGGAGTTCTACAAGATCCATCAATCACCCTTCATGAGAAACAGCTAGAAGTAATCCAGAAGTTCAGCTACTTAGGTTCCACAGTGACCACTAACCTCTCACTGGATGAAGAACTTAATGTTCACATTGGAAAGGCTGCCACCACCTTCAGCAGACTAAAAGAGCGTGGAACAACTCAAACCTTACCATCAAAACCAAAATGCTAGTGTACAATGCTTGCATGCTCAGCACTCTCATGTATGCTGGGGAAACATAGACAACTTATGTACACAAAGAGAAAAGGTTAAACAGCTTCTTCCTGCACTGTTTATGCTGTATACTCAACATTAAATGGCAAGATAAAGTTATCAATTCAGAGGTTCTTCAAAGGGCAAATTTACCAAGTATGACAGCCCTACTCAGAGACTACTGCGCTGGCTAGGCCATCTGAGTAGAACGAGATGGACATATACCTAAGGACATGCTATACAGGGAATTATCAGAGGGAACAAGAACAACAGGACACCCCAAGTTTTGCTATAAAGACGCATGCAAGTGAGATATGAAGGCATCTGGGATTGATCCTGGCCAATGGGAAACCTTGGCAAGCAATCAGAACAAGTGGCATCACCAGAGCATTAGAGTCTATGACAGGAATTGGCTCCAACAGCTTGAAGAGTCAGTAGGAAGCAAGAAGCTCCCAAACAACCCAACTGTGACACATTCATTTGTAACCACTGCCACAGATCATGCAAATCTTAGATTTGACTATTCAGTCACCTGAGACACTGCAAACCATTTACATCATAGGCTGCAATTTCAGTTGTCTCTTGCAGATGAAAGGGTGCTATAAATACTTACCTAAATCCAAGACAACTTCAAATTTAAGATGACCACCACCACCCAAAACTAGATTCCAGACATAGACAATTTATACATTTGTTACAATTTTCCGTATCTCAAATCTAATTTTTGAAGGATTGTCTTTAATAAATCCCCCACACTGCTGCAGCAGGGCAGGCAGTGAGGAGTCAAGTGGCCTGACCCCTACTTGCCACCTTTCCCTTCTACCACTTCCAACCTTGCTGCCTTCCCCCAAGTACCTATGTGCCCCATGTCTC